GTTGCCAAGCATCTGAATTTTGATCACATGACCATGGGGAGGCTGCAAAGGTCGTAATTGTGAAAAACGGTCATAAGTCACTTTTTCTAGTGTCGTTGTAACTTTGAACCGTCACTAAATGAATTGCTGTTAAGTCAAGCACTACCTGAATTGTCTTCTTTCTACAATGAGCCTGAAATAACTATTTAAAAAGGGTATATCAAGTAACTTATAGTTTAAAAAAAAGGCATTCATATATTTTGTAAATGTTTAAGTATATCTTTTCATATGAACACAATGAACAAATGACACTTGGCTACAATGTAAAGTAGTGAGTAGACAGCTTGTATAACAGCGTAAATGTGCTGTCCCCTCAAAAATAACGCAACACACAGCCATTAATATATAAACTGCTGAAAATATATACTTAAATATTTACAAAATGTGAGGGGGTGTACTCACTTTGGTGATATACTGTATATTCTACATTTCCTCCAAGTTGCTATAAACACAAATAAAACCACAAGAACCTTTAAGCCAAAAGGACAGAGCAGCAATAAAAGCCAAACATTAACAACTAATAGAAGCAACAGATGGACAATGTCAATCTTCCCTTTTCCTTTGATAACCAAAATGTTTAAAAGCCCTACCTGACTTCTTGGTCCTGTTTCTCTTAAAAATATTGTTTCTTGAAATGCATTTCCATTTTCAGTTCTTTACTAATGTCAATTTGTATTAGTTTTTCCAGAAAATCTGTTCATTTGTATCTATTTTTTTAAAGATAACTTTTTCATCATTATACTTAATGACTTTAGTATTGACATAGCATCTTCTGAATTAGTTAATCATCCTAATTTGTAATATATATATTTTTTAAAAATCCCTATTGTAGAAGTTTTTAATAAAACTTGCAGGTTTCCTAAATATGTTGGAGCTGTGGTGGTGCAATGGTTAGAATGCAGTATTGCAGGCTCACTCTAACTGCTGCCAGGAGTTCAATCTTGACTGGTTCAAGGTGACTCAGCCTTCCATCCTTCTGAGGTTGGTAATGTGGACCCAGATTGTTCGGGGCAATATGCTGACTCTGTAAACTTCTTACTGTGGAGCACTATGAAATGGTATGTAAGATCTATTGCTAAGTGTTATTACTATATGCAACTTTGTATGTAGAACTTTCTGCATGTGAATATGAAGAACTTTATAATTAAAATTATTTTATTTAAAAAATTCTTATATTTTGAAATGCAAGATGTGCATATTGAACCTTCTAGGCACCTTTTCAATTACATTAAAGTTAAAGCTCAGTGCTAATGCAAGTATTACTCACCAATGGTTTAGCTATATTTATATCTTGAACTAGATTTTTGAAATTTTCTGGTATTAAAATCATGGTCACTGCTCCCCTACATTAGCTTCATCCTAAATAATTCTGTCCTACAGCAATTAATTGCATCTAGAAATAGTGTTCTTGATACAGCCATCCCCAACCTGGTATCTTCAGATGTACAGGGTGACAATTCTACCGGTTCAGGCGAACCAGTAGCTCCTCTCAGTTGAGTCACACGGCAGAGCAGACTGCCACGCCTCAGCTATTTTCCTCCCCAGCAATAATGAGGAAACTGCACATGCGTGCAGCACGCGTCAGGGACATGCGAGTGCAAACCAAACCAGTTGTTATATCAGTAGGATCCCACCAGTGGTGACAATTGTCTATTGGAATCTAGAAACACAGAACAGAAATCTTGAGAGGGCCCTTGGAATTGGTGAATATAGCATCCTCAATAAATGACCAATGAGAATCCACTGCTATCCAAAACAGTGTTCCACTATCAAACATAATAAAGACAAAAAAATGTAAATCCAACCATCTTTTTTTCTCTGCACAAGATGACCAGCACCTTCTATATAAGATCTACCTAGTTTTCTACTTTTAAAAAATAGCACAACTATTACCACTATTACAACTACATTTACACCCAGCTTTCCTAAGTGGAAGCAGTTTCTTGTTATCTTACCCAAGCGAGTTGTGAAGCAACTAGCAAAGGCACATACTGAGCACTGCAATCAGAGAATTTAAAGGGAGGATCTTACCTTAACCGCTATTAACACACTGACTCAGTTAATGGAATTAATATGAACACGGACTTAGACATATTTCCTAAATAGGGATGTGATGCTCTATTCAGTTATGGCTGCCTAATAATCCTGCCTCTGAATACAGTAATGAAAAAACTTGGATAATTTTGTTGCATCTTAATGTAGATAATAGCATATTGTCCCCTAGGTCAGCTATTTTTTATGGCCTTAAAACTTTATCCATAATATTAAAATCTTGGTACCTGTCACATTTCTTGTATGAACCACAGTTAAATACACTAAGCTTGTAAGGTGGAAAGCTGACAGCTCAGGTCTGAGACCCAAGTGCCACGTGATGAGATGAACTCCTGCTCTTACTCCAGATCCTGCCTACTTAGCAGTTCAAAGAAATGCAAATCAGAGGTAGGTTGCTACCGGTTTGGCCTGGGTCAGCCAACCCAGTAGTGGTATTGTGGCCTGGGTCGCAGAACCGGCAGTGGCCTAGGCTGGCCACGCCCCCGAACCGGTTCCCCAGTATTCTTCAGTAATTTTTTCATGTTCTGCGCATCAGCAAAGCGCATGTGAAGCAAACCGGCAGCAACCCACCCGATGCAAATGTAAGTAGATAAAAAAAGTACTTTGTTGGAAAGGTAACAGCGTTCTCTAAGCTGTGGCGTATAGAAATGCTGGCCATGTGCCCACAGAAATGTCTTTGGACAACACTGGCTCCCTCAGCTAAGAAAGGAAGATGAGTAACATCTCTGAAAGTTGAACATGAATCGACAGGGAAAACTTTCCTTTATTTCATTCAGCAATTTTATCCTGGAGGAAAGGGGTGCTACACTGGTGCCCTCAGGCGTATTTGCATTTTATCAACTACATAAGCAATATCTGACACTACAGGATCATTTTCTTTCTTCAAATATTCCACAATCGTCTTCAGCAAGATGTCATTTTTCAACTAAATTAGTATAGCTTGTTCTGTGCTGAGTTCCCCAGTCTAGCCTTTGATAAACCCCCTGAGTCTTTATGCCTGATAGTTACTGATGCTTAGATACAAGTACATCATGTGCCCATGGCCCCCCTCTTGATTTTCCTTATCATGCATTTCACGCTGTAAACTCATAAAAGTAGAGAGATGGGTTTTTTGTACACAACAGTACAATGATCCAGCAGTGCTTGTCAGGCTAGCTTATCATATAAAGCAGGAGGTCTCCAACCTGGCTGGCTGAGAAATTCTGGGAGTTGAAGCCCACAGTCTTAAAGTTGTCATGTCTGGAAATCCCTGACATAGGGTTACTGTAATAAAATGTATGTCACGTACACTGCCCGGAATATCTTTAAGAGGGACCAATATGAACAAGCGTACAAGGTGTTTCAATTATATGGTAACATGCATATGTTCTATAGTGGTATGATCTGGCCCGAAAACTCTGTTTTTTTTATCCTGGAATGCCCTACATTACCTAATTCCAGCCTACTGACTTCGATCAGTTCATAAACCATCCCTTAGAATGTTTAGATTGGCTTGTTCAGAAAGAAACTTGTGAAGCCAAATGGTGTCCCCCACAGAATGCTTTGCAGCTCTTAATGGAGACTAATGAGACCCAAAGACCAGGTCACTTTTGTTAAAGTTGGCAACGTGCAGAAAGAAGCCCGTCTGAAAGAATGGCATGCACCTTTACTTCTTCCCTCCTTCGCATCTTCTTTGCTTTGGCTGAAAACTGGTGCATTGATTTCCCGACCATTTTACTGGATTGCTATTTATTTTGCCTCACCTCTTACATTAATCCAAGCAATAAGGGCTTTTAAAGCATTCATAAATAACCCACTGCTGCTACTATTGGCATCTAGAAGCCAACCGTAGCAATGTTAAGCAACAACAAATTTCATAGTTCAAGAGGCACAGTCAAGAAAAAGGTTTGCTCAGAAAAATCACTCATTTACTACAAAAATCTTTTTTTTAAAAAAATGGCACAGAATCATCCAAGTAACTATAGAAACCAATTTCTTAAGCTCAGTATCACACATCTCCCACCTCAATTGTCTTTATTATTGTTTTCTGTCAGAAAACAATAATCAGAAATGTGAACAGGCTTGATTTATTCAGTGGGGGAAAAAGAATCTGTAGGTCAAGTTAAAAAAAAAATCTCACTCACAGAGTTTTCAACCTTAGGTATTTTCATTTAATTCTGTTCCCAGTAGCTCTGGGGGCAACTCCAGCGAGATCCAATATTAAGGCTCAATTAAAATAAGCTCCAATTAGTGGAGCTTTTTTCTCTCCGGCTAAAAAAGTCAGGAAATGGATATTGGGAAATGTAAAAAGTCAGCTACTGAGAGGAGGCTGCAGCAGACATAAATGAACTTATTTGTTGATTTCTGCAGTTGCTATGCAGAGGCCTCTGGGAGTAACAGCTTAACCAGTCTAAGCTATAAACTAAAACCCCTGCAGCTAAACATGAACTGTGTGAAACAAGGGCTCCATTCCAGAACAGAAAACTGCTGGGCCCAGAAAATTAAAAGCCAGAGGCGTTTTCCATTTAAAACTAAATCCCAGTACCACCTCCCAGCCAAAGAATTATAAGCAGTATCAGATTTACAAAACGAACAATTACCCTGGAAAAATGTAGGCTATTGTACAGGCCCAGATGCTAAATCTTAAAGTGTCTTCCCCCTTTCTCCTAATCCCACATTATATTCCCGTTGCTGTAGTTGGGCTCTGCTTAGAAATAGTTATTTGTGAACTATGAAAGCAAAGTGTTAAGAGCTGATAATTCACTGGCCCCATTTGAAGCATTGCCCTTGCCTGCAGCAGTTCCTGTCCTTCCCCAAGGCCTCCACAAATGGTATGCAACAGCAAAATAAACTCTGACCTAATTGCCAGGGGAGGCCTGCCAACCTCTCCTCCTAACACGAAGCCAAACCTGGTAACTTGAAAGTTGTACCTCTTTTGCTTTCTGCTTTAAACGCAGCTGTTCTGTATCTTCTTTATTGCAACGGCTCTATTAAAAAAAAAAGGAGGAAGGGGGGAGGGAGGCAGAGAAAGAAATGTAATGGAAGTTACCCAAAATACAAACATTATCCTTAAATATTTAATCAGCTACGTTTTTTTTTGTTCTGATTGGAAATCTTAGCTCTAGGGGCTTCGCGCCGCAAGCTGGCTGGCTTGGTTCTCCCTACCCCACCCCCTCCGTGCCCAAACATCCTTTCATCAGGGACGGTTGCCTTGCTTGTAGCCCAGAGGAAGCTTGAACTAAAAATGATGCTAACGTTGTCAGTCAGGCCCAGCGTAGGCATGATGATGTTCATGTCAGGAGCAGACACTTGGGGAGAGAAAAGGAAAAGAAAGGCAGAAAGGGGGGGAAAGAATGCTCTAACCCCATGTTCTGCTGGAATAATACAGTAGGCCTGCCTTAGGGGGACCTAATTTTAAACTCCCTTATTTCAGAATGAGGTAGATTTAAAAATAGAGCCGTTTATACGGGTTGTGATAATCGGTTAAAATGTATCTGCCACGAGGTCAACATAGATGATCAGCCAGCAGATGTTCTTAACAAGTCTGCAAAAACTGGCTGAAGGCCAGACAGACCCTGACACCTGTAAGATGGGGATGCCACACTGACCTATTTTATGGGAAGGAAGTGGGACCATGATGCTGTGCAGAAGAGATTCCACCCTGCTGGCTAACTGGAAGCTGTTAATTTCAGCTTATGCCTCTTGGTACCATGAGTTCCAGCCAGCATCAAATTTCCGTCCAACCCAACACTTCCAGAATTAAGAAGTGTTCCATAGGCTATTTTCTTGAGGCTGAACCATAATTTGCTTTAATAATAATTTGTCTACTTCCTGGGATTCTCCCCCCCCCCCCACTTTCTTTACATCAGTGGTTCCCAACCTTTTTTGGGCCATGCCCCACCTAAGCATCTCTAAAATCCTGATCCCCCTCCCCCCGGTGATATATAATTCTTACTTTACTCAAAAAGTGAATTCTACTCACACAAAGGAAGCCTAAAAGGCTATTAACCTGGTTTAAACTATGGGACATTGTCAAGAGAAAGATGAAAGACATGAGACCGAACAATGCAGAAGAGCTGAAGGCCGCTATTGAAGCATCCTGGTCTTCCATAACACCTCAGCAGTGCCACAGGATGATAACTTCCATGCCATGCCGCATTGAAGCTGCAAAAGGGACTCAAACCAAGTACTGAGTACATATGCATGCTTATACTTTTCAGAGGTCCGATATTGTTCTTTGTAT